AGATTTTATTGCAGATCTGCATCAGATCTTTGGCCAAATCTTGGCACATCTGCATTGCAGAAAAACTGCAGATTGCAGAATCTTTACAGATTCTGCAAAGATTTTTGCAGACCGAGTTTTTTTGGGACAATTGTATTGTATGATTATACACGAATCGGTATGATCTTGAATAATCATACAAATTCATACATACGAAACGGTACGATTGACGTCCGAATCGTGGTCCCTGAAAAGTCACAGATCCATACTATACGTTTCGTACAACAATCATACGCACGATATTGCATGATTTGATCTGATCCTATGATTCCTATGATATTACGTACGAAATAGTAAGATTACATAAGATCGTGTCTGATTTTGTACGATTTTACGTATGAATGATCCATGATGACTGTTTTTGCTGGTTTCTCTCGCTAGTCTGCTTTTGCTTTTCTTGTACGTCTTTGCCGCATATGAATCTTCTCAATTCGTTTCTTTTTCATGTATTTTAATCGTGTATGGAAGATATAAAAGGTTTAGAAAAAGAGTCGTTGGTTTGGAAAAACTGTAAAAGTATTTCAGTTCATTGGATAAATCACATCAAAACAGGAAAAAAGAATTTAAAAATAAAAAATAACATAAATTTCTTACGAAGAAAAATCAACAAACAGAGCATTACAAAAAGAAAGTGAATTGACATGACAAAATGTGCTTATTTCGCAAAGAAAAATTATGGAGAGCCGAAAAAAGAGTAGGAGAAACAGTCCTTTCAAAAGTAAGTCTGAAAAAATGTGCCTTAAGACACATTTCTTGAAGAATTCGCCAGCACATGATTTTCTCTTTTATACGCTGCTATGATCCGAGCAGCTCTGACTCACACCAACTTAACTTTCGAAAGTATGCTTACGCGAAGCTTCGGGCGCAAATCTTGTCATTAAACTAACTAAATTTCTATAAACATAGCGCTCAAGTTAAAAACGTACTGACAGTAAAGGGAAAGGCTTCCTTCTGACCTTAATCTTCTGAATTAGTACTGATTCCTTCTGAATTCTGAATGTCGCATTAAAACTGTGTTATCAAATAATCAGAATTCAATTTAAAGAAAGACCAAAAACAAATAAATGGGTTGAGCATCGTACAACATCGCGAAGATAGCAGATAATGCTGCTATAGTGCTATGAAACTAAAGGATGAAAGTGTTATGATATTAGAGTGAATTTTGTTTGTTGAAAATGTGTTTCAGTTTTTAAAGAAAATAGTGTCATTTCAAATTTTTTCCAGGCTTGACATTGCCATAAAAACTGCATTTTCACCAGAAAATAAAATTCATTCAACAATTTTTCATACTTAATACTGTTTGGATCTTAAAAGATACGAGGATTTTTCAACACAATCAGTACTTGTAATCCAAGATAAGTGTGGAATAATATTTGTTCATAATTATTGGTAAAATTGTATTACAACCACTGGAAACTTTAACATAGATGAATCAAACGAAGACGATGATTATTTATTGCGTTTTAATTTTCCTAATTATGTATGATTAGAAATAGACACTTAGTTTCTATTATATAAAGTTTAAGAAAATTTTGTATGGTAATATAGTATTTTTCCTGCAAAGATGTTAAAATTTATAATTTCAGAACGGTAATCTAGTGTTGAACCCATATTGACATCGATATACGTGATTAGATCCGAGCGATTTTTTCTTTGAGCCCAATCAATTCTGAAAGAGAATTTTGACTTAGAAATTTTCTCGAAAACTGCATGAATCACAATTTTTTCTTCATAATCCGAATAAAACTTGAAACTATTTGACCCGAACCCGATTCGAACAGTGATCCGATCCGATTCGATCTCTGACTGACACAACATAGAATAGAAATTGAAGAAAACTGTTTAAGAATACTGTTGCTTCCTTCCAGTAAGACATGTATAGGATCGATGAAATGAATTAAAAGAAATTATAATTTTTAGTGATTTATAGATATTTGTACAACGATATTATTTAGGGAGTTGACTATTGTAGAAATAAGGGCTTAACGAAAAGTTATTTGATAAACAAAGTTGAAGTTGAGTTTTTTTTTAGTGTTGATTTTCTTTTTGATTAATCAAAGAAAAAGAGAATCTAACGATTTTTGAGAATATTTTCGAAGAAGTTGAAGATTATCAGTAAATGTGGAAGGAACGAATGTGACATACTACGAGATTATCGACATACATCCTCAAAAAATCACTAATAAACCAATAAATAAAAAATCATGACAAAAAATTGAAAAGAACAATGAAGATAACATAGAACCTGATCTGAAAAGGTCTTCATTAGGTTTCGGATATAATTGTGTAAACATATTTCCACCACTATAGATAAGTATCATTCTGAACTATATCATGTAAAAATAGATTAGACACCATCTTTTTTTGTGATTTAAAAGCAACCATAACTAACATTTTTTAAATTTGCAAGTGTAAAGATAATTATAATATTTATAAACTGGCTTACAACATCAATGCATAGACGAAGAACATAAATAAAAGTCAGTGATAGATTTTTAAAAAGACGCAATCGTAGTGCTAGCGTTTGTAGATAACATTTGAACGCTGTTAGAATTCAGTCATGATTCTAATCCTTGTCCAAACACTGTTATACAAAATTTTCCTTAATTTTATATACGAAGTCAAACGTCAATTTCTAACCATGCAGAGTTAGGAGAAGTTATGAAAATTAAAATGCAATAAATGCTATACTACTGAAGACATCAAAAGGGAACGAGTGGAAATAAGTACTTAAGCACGACTTTTTTCCTATTTGACGAACAGTTTGTATGTTTTGGATAGTGGAAATTTTTCAGCAATTTTCTTGATATTTTAAATTTTTCATAATTTGCGACTATCATTGTTTGAAGTACTGACTGGACCTTTTTTTACACAGCATTTATATTGAAAGTAAGTAAAATCTGATCGTAGTACACTCTTTATTTATTTATAAATATATTCTTTCACGATCTTTTGAAACTTTCGTAACGATGTCAAGAAGAAATTAGACTGTACTTTCTAAAAAAAATCCCTAGCTTACAAAACGAATATCGGTTTTGAAATTTGTTCCTAATAGAAACTGATATTCGTATCGTACAGTCCTGCTTAGTCGTTTCGCAAAATACGCTTGAACATTTTTTGTCTCGTGAAGAAACGGATTTAGGTTTTGTATCAGAGAAACAAACGCTCAAGCGTATTCTGCGAAACAACTAAGCAGTACTGTACGATACGGATATCAGTTTCTATTTGGAACAAATGTCAAAACTGATATTCGTTTTGTAAGCTAGGGATTTTTTGTAGAGAGTAGATCAATATTTTTTTAATAATGATGTTTTAAATTTATTTATAAGACAATATTCAGTATTGAAATTTGGATCTGAAAAAAATGTAGTCGTGCAAAAAAAACCTTTACTTTAAAGATTTAAGTACCACGACTAGTCTCTAAACTTTTGTAGTATTTCGGGCAGATTTAAGTCATTTCAACCGGACAAAGACATTAGTACTACTGTTCATTCTAAAAATAGCTCCAAAAATCGTTTTTGGAGCTATCTGAAAAACGATTAGAAAACGATGAAAATAATCGTGCAAAATCTCAAACTCATACCAGTTTGTAGAGAAATGTTTACTCTACAACTCAGAATATTTTTTGAAGTTTAATAGTTTATTAATAACATGGTATTCTTTCCACAAAAGCAAAGAAAATCGTCTCGGAATTCCACTTTTCGTCATTTTTTGAAATTCTGAGACGATTTTCTTTGCTTTTGTGAAAAGAATACCATGTTATTAATAAACTATTAAACTTCAAAAAATATTCTGAGTTGTAGAGTAAACATTTCTCTACAAACTGGTATTAGTTTGAGATTTTGCACGATTACTTTCATCGTTTTCTAATCGTTTTTCAGATAACCCAAAAACCATAACCCAAAAACCGATTTTTGGAGCTATTTTTAGAATGGTTATAACTCCTAGATGACACATTGTCCGAAGTCACGAAACATCGCATTTTGTTGAGAAATGTTCAATGTACTCGACAGACTATAAGCAGTTTTCAAATAGGCTTTAGTTTCCTTACGGTGTTTTTCAGAAAAGAGCCAGAAGAGAGGACCGTTAGCTGGCCAAGCCCAAGTAATCAAACATGAAGATCTTGAATTCCAATTAATGGAATTAGAAACTAGATGTGAAGCAGAATTAGAAGAAGCTGAAGAAAATTTTAAAAATGAACAAGAAATTGTACAACAAAATTCAAAAATACGACAGGTAAAAATTAGCAAATCTCTATGTATAAAATATAATCTAAATGAAAATTGTATATGTATTAAAGAATAATCTTCGTGATCTTGACCATCAACAACATATCATATTACAGCAAGTAACTGTAGAAAAAGATAAATTAGAACGTGAAAGACAAAAATTAAAACTATTATTTAAAAAGGTATATAATAATTGTTAGTGTATCATGGAAAAAAAAAGACGAATTTTTATCTATTTTGTTAGAAAAAATTACATGCTGACGATATTGAACAAAAACTTACCAAATTAAGTGATGCATTAACAACAACGACAACATCGATAACAGATGCTAATCACCATCGTGTAGTAAGTACTATACGAATATACAAGAAATTCAAAGTATATGAAATGTTCTTATTTTCTTTTGCAGAATGATAATAATCATACTTTAAAGACAAATGGCAGAGAGGATGATCAAGAAGATCTTAGAAATACCAAAGGTTCATCAACATTAGGAAATAATAATAAAAAATCTAGTCATTATCAAACGTTATTTAATGGAAATGAGGATTATGGAACAAATAATAAGAATGGTAAATGTGCTAGAAATGTAATTTTATAAGATGTGAGTTTTTACAACAATTTTTTCTATTATTAGATATACCTCCTTCGTGGCATACTAAATCGCTGATGAATGGTAGTACAAATAACGATTCATTATTTAATAAAACACATCCGAATGATATCTATAATACATTGTCGATGGTTAATTATCGAAATTCTCCATCAGAGTAATAAGAGATAAGGTGTTTCATTGAATAGCAAATAACAATGTATATGTCTATTTACTATAGAATGAGAAATGATGAATATATCAATAAATTGAATGAACTGAAAGAAATGATATCTGTGGCTAAATTAGAAAAAATGACCATTTTAGAACAACAGGTAAATGAGACAAATATCTAAGTATTTTTCTTGCTATTTTTATGATTATTTGTTCTTTTTTGTTTCAGTTACGTGAAAGATATACGGAACTAGTTCAGTTCCAAGAAGAACATACTAAACGATTAGAATTAGAGAAAAAATTAGCTGATGAAATGAAAAATAAAGATTATCTTGTTGAATGTCAAGTGAAATTGCGAGAAAAAAATCGTGTACAGGTAAAATGTGCAGAAAAGGAATATTTGTGAAAATGCGGCTACTAGTAGTAGTATTCGAATGTGAGTTAAGTAAAAGATGATAGAATATTTGAATATTTATGTTAAATATTAGTATAGATCTACATCTCTTCATATTTTCTTTATATTAATTTGTACGTTTTGCTTTAGGAGCGTCCATTAACTCGCTATTTGGCAATTCGTTCAAGTGATTTTGATTTACGTCAACATAAAGGGTGTTTCATAAGTTTCGACCCCTCTATGTAAACTGACGTTATTTATATGAAACATACATAATAAAATTCAGCTGCTTTTTGCAAAAGATTCACCATTTAATTCTCTACAAAATGGTATAT